ACTCGCACCCACACAAAGCCTCCCATGCATGCCTTGTGAATCAGTCTGGCTTTGCTTCTCCTCGAGTGAACATTACCCTGCGCGTTCATCCAAACATTTCACAATAATCCTTTTTTTTTTTGTTGATTGAGTGCGACTTTTACATAAATAACCATGGGTCCAAAGAAACTTTCTATTGCCTGCCCTGTGGTAAAGAATTGAAGAAAGAGATTATCGACAAATACGAAAGTGGTGTGCATGTGCTGGAGCTTGCCAGGTTGTATGGCAAAAACAAATCAACCCTCAGTTCCATCCTGGTGAAGAAAAAAGAAATAAAGGAAGCTAATGTTGCAAAAGGGGTTAGATATGCTGATGAAAAATAGATCACAGACAATCAAAGATGTTGAGAAGTTGTTGTTGGTGTGGATCAATGATAAACAGTTAGCAGGAGATAGTGTTTCGGAGACGATCATTTGTTAAAAGGCGAGGCAGTTGCACTCAGATTTAGTAAAGAAAGTGCCTGGAATGGGTGCTGCTGTTGGTGAATATAAGGCCAGCAGAGGCTGGTTTGACAACTTAAAGAAGTGTAGTGGTATACACAGTGTTGCAAGGCATGGAGAGGCAGCAGGTTGTGACAAATGTGTTGCTGAAAAATTCGTGCATGAATTCAAGGACTATGTAGAGGCTCAAGGATTTGTCCCCCAACAAGTGTTCAGTTGTGGCAAAACAGGCCTCTTTTGAAAGAAAATGCCAAAGAGAACCTACATCATGCAGGAGGAAAAGGCACTGCCAGGACACAAGCCTATGAAGGATAGGCTAACTCTTTTGTTCTGTGCTAATGCTAGTGAGGATTTAAAAGTGTAGCCTTTACTGGTGTATTTAAAAGTGAAGCCTTTACTGGTGTATCACTCTGAAATTCCCAGAGTGTTCGAGGAAAACAATGTCGTCAAGAGTAGATTGTGTGTCATGTGGAAGGCTAACAATAAGGCATGGGTCACAAGGCAAATTTTCATTCACTGGGTCCATGAAGTGTTTGGCCCCAGTGTGAAAAAATACCTCCAGGAAAATAAATTGCCACTCAAGTGCCTCCTGGTACTGGACAATGCTCCTGCTCATCCTCCAAACTTGGTAGACCAGTTGTTTAGGGATTTCAGTTTTATAACAGTGAAGTTCTTGCCTCCTAACACCACTCTTCATCCAACCCATGGACCAGCAGGTCATTTCAAACTTCAAAAATCTCTATACGAAAGCACTGTTTCAAAGGTGCTATGAAGTGACCTCAGACACTGAATTGACCCTAAGGGAGTTCTGGGGGAATCACTTCTGTATCTACAGCTGCATAAGCCTTAGAGAGTGACTTCCAGGACTTCGAACTCTGCTTGGAGAAAATTGTGGCCTGAATGTGTCCAAAAGAAGGATTTTGAAAGGTTTGAGGCTGACCCTGTAGACTCTATGCCTGTTGTGGAATGTATTGTGGCATTGGGGAATTCCTTGGGGTTGGATGTGAATGGTCAGGATGTGGAAGAGTTGTTGGAGGACCACGGGTAAGAGCTAACCACTGATGAGCTGCAAGAGCTTCATCTGGAACAGCAATCTACCACAGCTGAGGAACTTGCTTCAGAGAAGGAGGAAGAGGGAGGGAAGGAGGTGCCTTCTTCAGAGATTAAGGAGGTTTGTGCAATGTGGAGTAGGGTGCAAGCTTTTGCTGAGAAATATCACCGTGAGCAAGCTGAAACAAGCTATCTCTGCAACATGTTCAGTGACAAAACCATGTCCTATTTGAGACAAATGCTAAAGAGACGCCAGAAACAGATCTCTGGACAGTTTTTTTGAGCGACAGGGGCTCCAGTGACTCTCAAGCTGGTCCTAGTGGCATTAAAAAACAAAGAAGGGAAGTAACCCCAGATAAGAACTTGCTACCTAAAGTCTTTATGGAAGGGGATTCCCCTTCCAAACAATAATAAAGTCCTCCCTCTCTCCTCCCTGTCTTCCATATGCCAACAAGAGTCTTCAGTAAAGGTATGTAAATGTGATTTTAAATGTTTATGTATTTCATTAGTCATTTAAGTACTACAGGTCTCCCTCCACATTCATGAGGATTAGGGGATCAAGAACTTCGCAAGTGTTGAAAAATCGCGAATGTTTGGTGCACAAATATATTGTAGGGAAATATAATAATAGCATTTACTTAGCCTAACAATACTGCTTCCTTAACCTATTGAACCATGAACAATCATAAAACACATGAAAATGTCGTAAAATATTGTACTAGTGCTAGCCCTTTGGTAACAAAGGTGAGAAAAACTATAGAATTCAAGGAAGAACTCATAGCATAGTACCAAAGTGGAGGAGGAAGAGAGAGGGGAGAATGTGACCTTTTTCAGTGATTCAGTGATTCTGCGATATGTATGATACTAAAACAACATGAGTCGATAAAGGCTATAGCACCAGCCAGTGATATAGTGTACCATTAATGGTGTAGAAAGTAAGTTAAGCGATTAATTGATAGAAAAAGGACAGCATGAAACTAACTCTTCCAGTGTTGTTGGAGTTATGTAGGGTGACTGGCAATGCCACCGTTTCTAATCTCTATCGCTTCTGCTGCCCCCTCCACCACCACTATGTATGGCTTATGCTCTCAGTGGCCCTTATACACCCAACAACAACAACAACACAGCAACACTCGTGACATACTTAATGACGTATTTTATTCATTCTAGAGTATATGTCATGTGAGAGAATTTGTTCCCATAAGGAATAATGTAAATTAGATTAGTCCATTTCAGCCCCCCAAAAATACACTTAAAAAAGCACTTACAAAAATACACTTACATAATTGTATGAGTTGGGAGCTGTTTGAAACTTGAGGTACCACTGTACAGTGGACCCCCGCATACCGTATGCATCGCATACCGTACAATCCGCATACCGGACGCTTTGATCGCAAAAATTTTGCCTCGCATACCGCCCAAAAAACCGCTCACCGTCCTTCGTCCGAGACGCGTCCAATGTGCGGCCTGAGCCACGCTCACATGTTCCGCCGGTGGCATTGTTTACCAGCCAGCCTCCGCGGTAACATCCAAGCATACAATCGGAACATTTCGTATTATTACAGTGTTTTTGGTGATTTTTTCTGGAAAATAAGTGACCATGGGCCCCAAGAAAGCTTCTAGTGCCAACCCTACAGCAATAAGGGTGAGAATTACTATAGAGATGAAGAAAAAGATCATTGATAAGTATGAAAGTGGAGTGCGTGTCTCCGAGCTGGCCAGGTTGTATAATAAACCCCAATCAACCATCGCTACTATTGGTGGTACAGCTGCTGCTGCTGCTGTATCACTGTCAGCTGCTGCTGCACTGTCAGCTGCTGCTGCACTGTCAGCTGCTGCTGCTGTTGTACCACCATCAGCTGCTGCTGCTGCTGCTGCTGTAGTACCATCTGCTGCTGCTGTAGCATCGTCTGCTGCTGCTGTAGCATCGTCTGCTGCTGCTGTAGCATCGTCTGCTGCTGCTGTAGCATCGTCTGTTGCTGCTGTAGCATCGTCTGCTGCTGCTGTAGCATCGTCTGCTGCTGCTGTAGCATCGTCTGCTGCTGCTGTAGCATCGTCTGCTGCTGCTGTAGCATCGTCTGTTGCTGCTGTAGCATCGTCTGCTGCTGCTGTAGCATCGTCTGTTGCTGCTGTAGCATCGTCTGTTGCTGCTGTACCACCGTCAGCTGCTGCTGCTGCTGTAGCACCGTTGTTGGTGTGGCTTATTGAGAATACCAAGAAACAATTAACCCCAGAGGATTTGCCACCCAGGATAACCCAAAAAAGTCAGTGTCATCGAAGACTGTCTAACTTATTTCCATTGGGGTCCTTAATCTTGTCTCCCAGGATGCAACCCACACCAGTCGACTAACACCCAGGTGAACAGGGAAAAATGCCTGGAACTAGTGCTCATATTGGTGAATTTAAAGCCAGCAAAGGTTGGTTTGAGAGATTTAAGAATCGTAGTGGCATACACAGTGTGATAAGGCCTGTTCTGGAAGAAAATGCCAAACAGGACCTACAGTACTCAGGAGGAAAAGGCACTCCCAGGACACAGTGTCTCATCAGTCATTGCTGCATCTTCAATAAAGGTAAGTGTCATTTATTCTTCATTTAGTAGAGTAGTACATGCACAATATATATTGTGCATGTACTACTCTACTATTGTGCATGTATCCTTCTCTTTGTGTGTAGGAAAATGTATATTTCATGTGGTAAAAAATTTTTTTTCATACTTTTGGGTGTCTTGCACGGATTAATTTGATTTCCATTATTTCTTATGGGGAAAATTCATTCGCATACCGAACATTTCGCATAACAACCAGCCCTCTTGCACGGATTAAGGTCGCTATGCGGGGGTCCACTGTATAGTAAAAAATTGTGACTTACATGTTTTGAGAAGTATTACACCTTGAAAGAATTGTAATATCATAGGTAGTCTTTGTGCATATTGTCAGAAGACCACAACATTAAAATAATATAGAAAAAATTATTTGCTCCAATTTATGCTGTATATTCCAAGTGAAGTCTTGTGGGGTTAAACATTCCCATGTTACAAGTACAATAACACCTTCAGACATGTTTAATATCAAAAGAAATAATGTTACATAGTAATTTTAAACACTGAAAAGTATAAAAAACTGAAAAACAATCATAATTTGACATTAATATCACTGGCCCATTTGTCACTGTTGCTGATGAGTGATCATTTTTTTGCTAACTTTAGCACACTATAAATTCATAAGATTTTATCAAATTTTGCTCAACTTAGTCTTTTCCAAGTCATAAAATGCACTTTTTCAGTATGTCGGAAAAAATATAAAGATTTTAAAATTTTTTTCAAAATCTTGCCCTGCAAGAATTTTGATTTCTTGGTATGCAGCAGTTAAGAAGTTAATTTGTATTAATTTTGGCCTTAGGATTCCATATGTTTGATTAATTTGCACTTTATCAATGCAATATTTCAAATATATTCATTATAGAGCATTGCAGGGTGCTGGTGAGGCTGGTCAGAGAGTATGTAACCTGCAGTGTTTCACCAGTGCACAGACCATTAAAGTGAACCCAGACAAGCCTCAGGAAGAAGTGAGGTTCCTTACTCTGGAGGTGAGTATTTCATTTAGAAAATTTTATGCAGTAAATTTTTATTGACCTTTTTGGGATCTTATTGTTTGGTGGATGGTGAGTGTAATCATTAGAAAGTTAAAAAAAATTATTCAGCCGTAAATTCAATCAACTTTTTTTTATGGTATTTAAAAAGAATTGGAAAATGAATGAGGGAGAAAAAAGCTTTTTAATGAGAACATGTAGAAATATAGGAATTCTAAGATTGATCAAAGTGAAAGGAAGGAATGGGGTTGCTTGGTTTATTAGGTTTAAATGCTATTGACTTGATGAGGTTAATTAAGGCTATAAGTAACCTGTACCCCTCCAGTCACTTATATACACTAAGAAAGACTTCTCAGTGTATATATCTTTGAAGGAATATGAAGAAAGTGAATGAATTACGATTATTGAGTGTGGATGACTTAGCAAGTGGGTGTGCGAAGGATAAGTTAAATTACAGAATAATAATGGAAAGTAAGTTGTAAGAATATTAAGGAATCCATGGAAAGAAAGAAATTCTTCATTGTATGCAAAAGGGAGAGTGCATTGTATCAGATTTTACTGTTGCTGATGCTTTTGTGTGTGTGTGTGTGTGTGTGTGTGTGTGTGTGTGTGTGTGTGTGTGTGTGTGTGTGTGTGTGTGTGTACATGTACTCGCCTAAATGTGGTTGCAGGGGTCGATACGTAGCTCCTGGCCTCACCTCTTCACTGGTCGCTACTAGGTCCACTCTCCTGTTTCATGAGCTTTATCATACATCTTAAAGCTGTGTATGGATTGTACTCACCTAGTTGTGGTTGCAGGGGTTGAGTCATAGCTCCTGGCCCTGTCTCTTCACTGGCCTCTACTGGGTCACACTCCCCGCACCATGAGCTTTATCATATCGCTGCTTAAAGCTATGAATGGATCCTGCCTCCACTACATCGCTTCCCAAACTATTCCACTTCCTGATTACTCTGTGACTGAAGAAATACTTCCTAACATCTCTATGATTCATCTGTGTCTTCAATTTCCAACTGTGTCCCCTTGTTGCTGTGTCCCATCTCTGGAACATTCTGTTTCTGTCCACCTTGTCAATTCCTCTCGGTATTTTTTATGTCGTTATCATGTCATCTCTATCTCTCCTGTCCTCTAGTGTCGACAAGTCGATTTCCCTTAACCTCTCCTCATAGGACATGCCCGTTAGCTCTGGGACTAGTCTTGTTGCAAACCTTTGCACTTTCTCTAGTTTCTTTATGTGCTTGGTTAGATGTGGGTTCCCAACTGGCGCCGCATACTCCAATATGGGCCTAACATACACAGTGTACAGGGTCTTGAGCGATTCTTATTAAGACAGTCCTTAGACTGTACTTTATCTGTGGTCTTCTTTGCCCTTCCCCAATCTTCATGACTTTGCATTTGGCAGGGTTAAATTCAAGGAGCCAGTTGCTGGACCAGACTTGTAGTCTGTCCAGGTCTCTTTGTAGTCCTGCCTGATTCTTGACTGATTTAATTCTCCTCATTAACTTCACATCATCTGCAAACAGGGACACTTCTGAGTCTATACTTTCCATTATGTCATTCACATTTACCAAAAACAGCACAGGTCCTAGGACTGACCCCTGAGGAACCCCGCTCGTCACAGGCGTCCGCTCTGACACCTCGTGACGTACCATGGCTCGTTGTTGCCTCCCTGTCAGATATTCTCTGATCCATTGCAGTGCCTTTCCTGTTATGTGTGCCTGATCATCAAGCTTTTGCATTACCCTCTTGTGAGGAACCGTGTCATAGGCCTTGCAGTCCAAGAAAATGCAGTCTATCTACCCCTCTCTTTCGTGTCTTACTTTTATTACCTTGTCGTAAAACTCCAGTAGGTTTGTGAGTCAGGGATTTTCCTTTCCTGAAACCATGCTGGTTGTTGTTTATAAGCTTGTGTCTCTCTAGGTGCTCTACCACTCTCCTCCTGATGATCTTCTCCATGACTTTGCATACTATACATGTCACTGACACAGGTCTGTAGTTTAATTCCTCGTGTCTGTCTCCTTTCTTAAAAACTGGCACTACATTTGCCATCTTCCATACCTCGGGTAGTTGCCCACTTTCAATGGATATGTTGGATTTTTGTTAGTGGCACACACAGCATCTGTGCTCCCTCTCTAAGGACCCAGGGAGAGATGTTGTCTGGTCCTACTGCCTTTGAGGTATCTAGTTCACATAGCTTCTTCACCTCCTCCTTGGTTGTGTGTATTTCATCCAGCACTTGTTAGTGTACCTCCCTATTCTGAATTCCTGGAGTCCTTCCTGTCTCCTGGAGTTTACCTGGAGAGAGTTTCGGGGGTCAACGCCCCCGCGGCCCGGTCTGTGACCAGGCCTCCTGGTGGATCAGCGCCTGATCAACCAGGCTGTTGCTGCTGGCTGCACGCAAACCAACGTACGAGCCACAGCCCGGCTGATCAGGAACTGACTTTAGGTGCTTGTCCAGTGCCAGCTTGAAGACTGCCAGGGGTCTGTTGGTAATCCCCCTTATGTGTGCTGGGAGGCAGTTGAACAGTCTCGGGCCCCTGACACTTATTGTATGGTCTCTTAACGTGCTAGTGACACCCCTGCTTTTCATTGGGGGGATGGTGCATCGTCTGCCAAGTCTTTTGCTTTCGTAGTGAGTGATTTTCGTGTGCAAGTTCGGTACTAGTCCCTCTAGGATTTTCCAGGTGTATATAATCATGTATCTCTCCCTCCTGCGTTCCAGGGAATACAGGTTTAGAAACCTCAAGCGCTCCCAGTAATTGAGGTGTTTTATCTCCGTTATGCGCGCCGTGAAAGTTCTCTGTACATTTTCTAGGTCGGCAATTTCACCTGCCTTGAAAGGTGCTGTTAGAGTGCAGCAATATTCCAGCCTAGATAGAACAAGTGACCTGAAGAGTGTCATCATGGGCTTGGCCTCCCTAGTTTTGAAGGTTCTCATTATCCATCCTGTCATTTTTCTAGCAGATGTGATTGATACAATGTTATGGTCCTTGAAGGTGAGATCCTCCGACATAATCACTCCCAGGTCTTTGACGTTGGTGTTTCGCTCTATTTTGTGGCCAGAATTTGTTTTGTACTCTGATGAAGATTTAATTTCCTCGTGTTTACCGTATCTGAGTAATTGAAATTTCTCATCGTTGAACTTCATATTGTTTTCTGCAGCCCACTGAAAGATTTGGTTGATGTCCGCCTGGAGCCTTGCAGTGTCTGCAATGGAAGACACTGTCATGCAGATTCGGGTGTCATCTGCAAAGGAAGACACGGTGCTGTGGCTGACATCCTTGTCTATGTCGGATATGAGGATGAGGAACAAGATGGGAGCTAGTACTGTGCCTTGTGGAACAGAGCTTTTCACGTAGCTGCCTCGGACTTTACTCTGTTGACGACTACTCTCTGTGTTCTGTTAGTGAGGAAATTATAGATCCATCGACCGACTTTTCCTGTTATTCCTTTAGCGCGCATTTTGTGCGCTATTACGCCATGGTCACACTTGTCGAAGGCTTTTGCAAAGTCTGTATATATTACATCTGCATTCTTTTTGTCTTCTAGTGCATTTAGGACCTTGTTGTAGTGATCCAGTAGTTGAGACAGACAGGAGCGACCTGTTCTAAACCCATGTTGCCCTGGGTTGTGTAACTGATGGGTTTCTAGATGGGTGGTGATCTTGCTTCTTAGGACCCTTTCAAAGATTTTTATGATATGGGATGTTAGTGCTATTGGTCTGTAGTTCTTTGCTGTTGCTTTACTGCCCCCTTTGTGGAGTGGGGCTATGTCTGTTGTTTTTAGTAACTGAGGGACGACCCCCGTGTCCATGCTCCCTCTCCATAGGATGGAAAAGGCTCGTGATAGGGGCTTCTTGCAGTTCTTGATGAACACAGAGTTCCATGAGTCTGGCCCTGGGGCAGAGTGCATGGGCATGTCATTTATCGCCTGTTCGAAGTCATTTGGCGTCAGGATAACATCGGATAGGCTTGTGTTAATCAAATTTTGTGGCTCTCTCATAAAAAATTCATTTTGATCTTCGACTCTCAGTCTGGTTAGCGGCTTGCTAAAAACTGAGTCATATTGGGACTTGAGTAGCTCACTCATTTCCTTGCTGTCATCTGTGTAGGACCCATCTTGTTTAAGTAGGGGCCCAATACTGGGCGTTGTTCTCGATTTTGATTTGGCATAGGAGAAGAAATACTTTGGGTTTCTTTCCACTGTAAATACTTTTTTAAATCTCATGTTGAGCTCCTCACATACGTCTTGGTCGTTTCTTGTGAACTCCCCTCCTTCCTTCCTCAGCCTGAATACTTGGTTCTTGACTGTTGTTTTCCTCCTGATGTGACTATACAACAGCTTCGGGTCAGACTTGACTTTCGATGCTATGTCATTTTCAATTGTCACTGAGCCTCCCTTCTTATCTGTGCATATTCGTTTCTAGCTCTTTGGCTAATCTCTTTATTTTCCTGGGTCCTTTGTCTTCTGTAATTCTTCCATTCTCTAGTGCACTTAGTTTTTGCCTCCATACACCTTTGGGTGAACCAAGGACTCGTTCTGGTCTTTCCATTACGTATTTCTGTTTCCCTTGGGAACAAACCTCTCCTCTGCCTCCTTGCATTTTGTTGTCACATAGTCCATCATTTCTTTTACTGGTTTTCCTGCCAATCTCTCTCCCACAGAACATCTTGCAGGAAGTTCCTCATACCTGTGTAGTTCCCCCTTTTGTAGTTTGGTTTTTCCTGTCGTATTCCTGCTACCCTCTCCACTTGTAGCTCAACTATGTAATCAAAGCACAGGGCCACATGATCACTAGCTCCAAGGGGCCTTTCGTACATGATATCCTCGATGTCCAAATTACTCAAGGTGAATATCTCTCTCTGGTAGTGTCTCTAACATGTTGATGCATGAAGTTTTCCAGTAACACATCCATTATCTTGGCTCTCCATGTTTTGGGACCCCCATGGGGATCCAAGTTTTCCCAGTCAATCTCCTTGTGATTGAAATCACTCATAAC